ACCTTCTCGCTTCACTACGCACGGCACCCTGTGCTCTCTGCAAGGCCTCATGGCAAGGCGGGTGAGCAAGACTGAGGACACGAAGGGGAGGAGGAGTGGGCTCCAGGCCGCAGTAACGGGCTGCAGCGGGGATGGGTGGATGAGCGGGAGAGAAGGGAGCACCTGTGGGGAGGAAGGGCCATTCCTACAGAACAGCAGGGGCCCTGAAATGATCTGAAAGCACCCCCAAAGTCTAAGCTTTGGTATCTCAACCGCCAAATTCATTTGACAATGGTTTTGAAGATGAGGCCTTGGGAGGCAATCAGGACTAGACAAATTCAGGAGATGAGGCCTCCACAATGGCACTGGTGGCTGTAACGAGAGCCCTGAGCCGGCACGCTGTGCTGACTATGGCGTCCTCCGCCAATCTGTGAAGCAGCACGAGCAGCCTCTCCCGGTGCCAGTGTGGTGTCCTGGACTTCCCGGCCTCGAATGCCATAAGCCAAAAACCTCCTCTTTGTGAATTAAAAAAAAATTCTGAACAACAGGATCAAAAGTTTCTTTCGTTTGTGTAGCTAACAGCAGGGAGAAATATCACCATGGAAATGCATGGTTATAAATATAAAAGACTCAAAAAAATCTCAAATATATTTAAAGAGAATTGCTATTCTTCCATATATATATCTCACCAAAAAATGCATACCCATTTCAGGATAAGAAAAACAGGATGATGTTTTTGAACAGATGGTGTTTCCCTTGTAGGGGGACCCTAGAGAATGTTGTGTATCACAAAAAACCCGCTACACTGCCAGCCCTTGGGGAAGAAACTGAAAATGCATGTGCAGCAATCTCAATGACCAAGGAAAAGTTACCCAAGCAGCAGTTCACTGTACTGATAAATGTCTGGAAGCTAAGGGCCACCACTTTGAGCACCTCTTGCAATTGTGGAGGCCAAAGGTAACTTGTATTAATCCCAGGTGTTATGGTAGATACACTGTGTCAACCTGGGGAGTCTAGAGGTTTGGCTAAGTGACTCAGCAGGAAGCCAGGGTTGCTTACTTTGTATACATCCTGAGCCTGTGGAAGAGGAGGGCATGGAGATTATGTGAGAGCTACACGCCCCTTAGGTGGGGGTAGCCTGTTTTACAATGTAGGGGAGGGAAAGAAGCTGCTTGCCACCATTCCTCCCTTTTGCTCTGGCTGTTTGCTGTTCAGCTGCCATTTCCCCCCTTTGCTCTTATTGCTTTGTCTTCTTCTGCCTCTGAGCCAGCCAAGTATGGACTGAAACCTCCACAAACTGTGAGCTAAATAAACCTTTCCTTCCTTCATTTTGGGCATTGGGTATTTTGTCTCAGCAATGAGAGAGAAATAACTAAGACACCATGGTATCTCAATAAACTTAGTATTAAAATATTTACACAAGTTTGTTTTTCCTCAGTAACTGTGAATACATTTCTCTCTGTGTGCATAAATATGTATTTGTTTTTTGAGACAGAGTCTTACTATGTAGTTCAGGCAGGTCTTGAACTCACTATGTAGCCTACATTGGCCTTGAACTTGTTATGATCCTCCTGCCTCAGCCTCTCAAGTGCTGGGATCACAGGTGTGTACCACCAGGCCCAGCTTCTTCCCTTTTTATCGTTTGCCTTTTATTATTTTCCCTGTATGCCATGCTAAAGAGCTTTACTACAATGGTTATAAAGACAGTGCCCCTAAGCATTCCTTTTTTTAACTCACAATTTAAATTTAAGGAGAAAATTTTGTAATGCTTCCTTACTGAGAATGTTTTCTACTCAGCTGTTGCAGATACCCTTGGTCAAAGAAATACCACTCTAATCCTAGCTTCTGAGCTTTTACCATACAGGTAAGGTGCTGAGTATTACTGATTTTTTCCAGTACATCTACAGTCTACAATAAGGATTTCCTTCTGTATTTTGCTAATACGCTGAGCAATAATTAGACTGAAATTACGCTTGCAGTTTTGGAATAAACTCAGATTATTTATTGTTTATCTTTTTAAAAAATACAAGTTATTTTTAAAATTCAGATTTCCAATAATTTTCCTTAAAATTTTAATACCTGTTTTAATGAATGAAATAGGCTTCTAATTTTCTTCACATACACTTTTGGTAACAGGACTACACTGGACTTACAGAATGAGTTGAGGGAGTAGTTCTTTTTCTATTCCCTGGAAAAATTTATGTTAACAGTGAAACGATGTGATCCTTAAAAGTATAGTTTAAAGTAACTTAGGTCAAAAACCTTCTGGATCAGTTGTTTTCATTTTAAATAACTGATTCCATATTTGTAGTAACTGCAAGATTATTCAGACTATTTTTTCTGAGTAAGTTTTGGCAAAATTTATTTTTTTTGGACTTTGTCAGTGTCATCTATGCTTCAGTCCCACTACTTTTATCAACCCCTTTCCTTTTCAATATTTCTCTTTTTAGCTTTGCCTACAAAACTCTTCAACTGTTCTTACATTTCTGATCTCAGCTTAAAAGCCATTTCCTTAATAGCTTAAGACTATATGCAGATGTACCAATTCCCCACCATGAATGAAATTGTAACGTATTACAGACACTAATTTAAAAAAAGAAACTAGCTGGGCTTGGTGGCGCATGCTCGCAATTCCAGTACTCTGGAGCCGAGGTAGGAGGATCACTGAGACTTTGAGGCCAGCCTGGGCTACACCGTGGCCAGTCTATAGTCCAAGATCTTGTCTCAAAAAAACCCCACACCAAAACCAAACAAACCCTAAAAACCTAAAAAAAAAAAAAAAAAAGTCATTTCCTGAGCCATTCTTGCTAACTACTCTAATGTAGTTCCCTAACAGTTACCTTTTTATCACATTACTGCTTTATTCCATTGGCAGTAAACATCACAGCCTGTAATTTATCGTGTATGAATATTGTTTACTATCTGTCTCTTCTACCTAGATTTTCTTTTTTTATGTGTGCAAATACTTTTATCAATTAAACCTTACTAAAATATTATTGGGTAACAGAGATCACAACAATGTAATATAGTTTACAATAGGTTTCATACACCAACAGCACAAAAGATGGGAACCGGGAAATGGAAACATTCAATGCTGCTTGTACTGTACTGGAAATGGTGTAACAGGCCTTGAAGGGAGATCACGGTGAGTTACAGACGTATACTAAAGATAGATACCACCGACATAACATAAAAAGTTATGGTGAAGACTGCCTCAGTATTCCCAGCAGCTTGAGTGAATTTTCTGACTATAGACTTTTAACTCCGTCTGAGTATTCAGTTTAAAAAATTGATAATCATAAATTTTTTCTTTTTTATTAGTATGTGTTTGTGGTACATGCAGCTTACTACATTTTCTTACAGAATTAATCTCTAGCTGGAAATATATATAGTTCAAAAAGTACAAATTTTAATTTTACCCAGAATGAGTATCTTGCTCTAAGAAAACATAACTTAGCAAAATAGATCTCGTGAGAGACTAAAAAACAGAACTAACCACTTGTCATAAGAAAAAAAGAAAAGTATCAAAAAGATATTCCCCAGGAAAAGTAACAGAACTGGAGAACATGTTAAGAGAAATAAGCCAGGCTCAGCTAAATATTGCATGTTTTCTCTAGTAAGAGCAATCTAACATAATAAAATTAAGGAAAGATGACAGGTAACTAGAAGGTAGACGTTTAGAGACGGGGAATGAGATGAGGGGGAGAGGGACACAAGGGAGAGAGGCATAAGGAGGATGCAAATAATGAAACCATGTTACAAGCATGTATCAATGTAACAGCACAAATCTCATTATTCTACATTGGCAGTATGTGCTAATAAAGATATTCTCCATCAAACCCAGAAAGTGTCACAAACAAATGCTAACAACCTTTAAAGGAATAAATAAGCTATTTAACCAACAGATGCAGAAGATACAAAACAGCATGTTTTTTTAAGCGAAGAAAGTATCAAAATGATACTAACACAAAAATCAACAGACAATGCCCACTTAAGGATCTCAATATAAAAGTCCTATATAAAATAATAGCACCAAAATCTAACATTAAATCATGACTATATGACCATGTTGAGTTTATTTCCAAAAGCAAAGTAGCTGAATATTAGCAAATCTAATCAATGAATAATTCCTCAGGATGATCGGCCAGAACTGAAAAATCACTAGTCATTTCCACTGATGCAGTAAAGACTTTAATATGTACAACAAACATTTTTGCTAGAAACCCATTTAAAAAAAGGTGGCTATTTCCTTAGTGTGATTTTAAAAAGCATTTCTGTACATGTATGTATATAAAATCAATCATTCTCACTGTGGAAATGCTACAATAGGGGCTGGCAAACCTTGGGCCACGGGTTATTTCCAGCTTGTCACCATTTTGGTAAATATTTTGTTGGAACACAACTCACCCATTTCACGTACTGCCTATGACTACTTTCATACTACAGCCAAACAGCTGAGAAGCTGCAACAGAGACTGGCATACAAAGAAAAAAATATTTTTTATCTGGCCTTTCACAATGTAAATTCAACAACCCTCAGACTGGGAACATTCTCATTAAAATTAGGAATAGTCAAGGAGGTTACCAACAATCACTGCTGTTCTGGAGATACCATCTGGTGCACTCGGTAAAAACATTCAAACTTCAACTTCTGCAACTATTTCTGTGAATCATTTCCGTCTGGAGAATGTTGCACATTCTCCTTGGCCATTATATAGCAATGGCACCTCTAATTTACTCATACCTAACATAAACCAAATGATCTTTTAAATGTCCACATTTTCTCTATAAAGCAACATGAAAGCATATGTTACAACTCCAAACATTAAGATAATGAAACAGCTGGTATTTTTAATTGTTTTTTTAAAAATATCAAAGGTGTCATAAAAAAATCAGTACAGCCTACTGCTCCCACATGAGGCTTTATAAATGCAATTAACTGCATACCAAACATTTGGATGTGATACATACACACTATTCTTGCACACTACACATAAAAATCAATCTCACTGTTAAACATACCCTTCCTGTAGAGATAATTCTTGGTTTTCTTCTTCAGGGCCACTGCTATCACTCTGTAGCTCAGGTTCATTTTCATCTCTTCCTGGCAGAGTCTCCCAGCTTTCATCACTTGAGGACTGATCTTTTTCTGTACCAGAAAATCGATGAGGCAAGGAAGCAGACCACTCCCCATCACTACATTCTGAACTATAAATGAGAACAGAAATAAAATGAAATATTGTTATATGTTCAGTCAGATACTGACCTGACATTTCTAAATGAAAATGTAAACACAATTTGCTAATCATAAATGGCATAACAGATTTACTGCTTAACCGACTTGACTGAAATAACCACCTAATTATATACTGACAATGATGTGTATTCTATGAAAAAATGGGCAGTATTACCAGGAAGTAAAAGCTGAACTGTTCTTTTTACACACATGCATGCAAATACACATACCCTTATGAAAGGAAAGATATTTAAATTTATAAAAAGGAGCACTGAAAAACCTTTACTGAAATCCTTAGGTAAGACTATGAGAAAATAAGTTTTAATTCAATGGAAAATAAGGAATCAATAGGAAATGATATAAGGAAACACAATGTACAATAAACAGGATTAATAAAGGAAATTGGAAAGGTACTTTTGATTACACTTGACTTTGGCTAAGTTGGTCACAATTTACTTAAGTTTTAAAGGATTAGTCATACTAATAAAGGCTAAAGTATTACTGATCAATACTGAAAATGAGTCTTAAGTGTGCTTTCCAACATTCTGGTCAAGAATCCCCTTAAAGATTTCCATTTTCCACTTAACTTCTGGACAATCAAAAACAACAAATTTGAGTTTATATTTTGGGAAAGAAACGTAAGTGGTAGAATGTTACCTTTTTTGATGATATTATGTTGTAAATATCTAGGTCCCTTTTACAGATCAATCAAGCGATCAAGATGCTATTAACAAACAGAGGCACTAATCTCGGCTCTGAGAGGTTTATGAAAAGCAATAAAATAAAACCAACCCCCAATTTCAGGAAATAAGGAGCAGCAGGGCCCAAACATCCTGGACAGCAGATGTAGCAACTAAAATGTGTTCCTCCAGTTGTGTTGTTTTTTTTCTTTTTTGGTTTTCGGTTTTTTTCTGGTACCAGGAATTGACCTCCAGTTGTGTATGAGACAAAACTGCATGCACTGCGTAAGACTTTCAATGACCCAAAGAATAACAGAAGATCAAGTAAACCATTTCTAGACTTACATAAGTATCAAAAATCTAACACACAGAATAGTGTAAAGGTACTTATTAAACTAAGCTTCCTCCACTACGAAGCTCTGCAAGTCACACCAGCTCCAGTTCTGATGTCTTTAACAACTACAGTAGTACACTTACATAAATTTGTGAGAACTTTTAACTTAGTTACACAGAAGACCCATGTTTTAAACATTTAATTCGCAGTGTGACTGTGACTCTGTTCAGGAAGGTAACACACAAAACCTCTATTTTTTCTGTTGATGAAATAAATGATGGAATACCTCTAAAAGCCAATACAAAAAGAATGTCTATGATCAATAGTCAATAGATTTTAAGAAGTCTATGTCAAGCATTGGCAAACTATAGCCTTTGGGCCAAATCTGGTCCTGCTGCCTTTTTCTTAAATTAGGAACTACAAATGATATTTTTGCAGATGAACTATTATTGAACACTTAGATTTTCATCTTCAAGTCATATTTTTATATAAAATAATCATCAGATGAGTCCCTTTCTTGAATTTTCTATGTGTTATGGTATTGCCACTCTCTCGTTTTGGAAATCACTTATCTTTGATTATTCCCTAAATCCCCATGCTCAAGGATTTTCTCACTTTGCATTTGTTTTTGCACAGTAATTCTATCCTAATTTATGTCCATTCTACTAAAAATGCTAGTTTAAGTTGTTTCTTCTAAAACTAGATTTATATAGTTAATTATTAGTTTATTTTCCTAATCCCTGAGTTCACTTTAAAAAATGCATTTAAAATATCAGCATCACTTTAATTTATACTTAATGTGGTGTTCAGAGTATTACTCTAGAAACTCTTAGCAGCCATTTTTCCTAAAACAGTATTTCATAAACTTCAAACATGTGCCTCACCTTCATAATTTTTATCACAGTTGCATATTAACACTATGTCCTAAGGTACAAGAGGTAAGAACACAGGTTCTGGAGTTAGCTTGCCTGACCTGAATCCACGCCTACTATGTGTGAAAACTTCTGTCTTGTTCGGGCCTCATGTATCAGCTGAATATAATAACACTATCCAATAGCTTATTAGGCTTATCTGAGGGATAAATGAGTTAATATATATCACTTGAAGAGTGCCTGGTAAATAACAAAACCACTAATAACTGTTAGCAAATCATTTCTTTAACAACGTATTTTTTTACTCAAAAACACTTGGTAACTCATAAGCAGTATCTTTCAAGTCTCAGGTGTGAAACACTAAGCACATCTGAAGATTCTCAGTAAATAAGTAATAATAACACTTGTCTGTGTACCAGTTAAATTTCTCTGAATAATACTGATGTTTTGCTACTTTCCACAACTAATCCTCTCATCACTAAGAAGATCTTCAAAATCACTTCATCTTTTTTTCCCGTCAGGACTAGATTAGACTTCATTTCTTTCAAGACCTCCTGTATAATATCGTTTTATTTTTCAATTATTTTCTAGAATGGCACTCTGGCTTATTCAGTCCAATTCACTATCGTACAGCTGCTTCTTTAACAGTACATTTTTCACAGGTATTAAATAAAATTTTTGGAGGCCATGGATTTGAGCTGAAAAGCTGAACTGCACTCAACAAACCCAATCAGTACAGTAGTGTATGTATTTCAAGCATAGGGAGCTTTGGTTGGCTATAAGAGAGAACTGAGTAAGCTGTACCCATCTACCGGCTGATGGACTAAGCTGCTGCCAATTAAATCTTTCTATGCCACCACCCTCACCTTCCTAAATGCTGTCTGATCATGATTGGCAGAATTTCTCAGACCATGTTCTGTCAGGAAGCTGCTGATTCAGGAATTATTTGTTTTGTTTTGCTCAAGTAAACTCAACTTGTTAAGTACAACTGGTCCATGGAATTTTCCTTTTTATGTAAGTGCAAAGTCACAGTTTCTTTAATAATTGACCAGTAGTTTCCAAGGAGATCGAACAGCGAGTGAAGTGCTTATAAAGTCTCGGAAGGTACTAAACATTGTGTAATTGCATGAATTTAAGCAGAGAACATTTAGTTCTCTACAGTCTGTATGAAAACGGCTACCAATAAATACTTTCAACTGTATTCAAGAAATCATTTTGTTTTTATATGAGTGATAGAGATTAATATACAAACTATTTCTATTTCATTGTAAATGTTATTATCTATGACAGTTTCAAACGCAGCACTACTTTGTAGCTCTGAAATTCTAAACTGGCTTAGAGGGTTAGTCAGAGAAGACCATGCAACTAGATTAAGATTCTTCTACTATTTAAAAAATAAAACTGAGCAAAAACAAACCATGAGCAATTTTTTACTGAAGAAGCAAAGCCCTATACTTCGTATCACGTGACTATTGAACCCAAGGCTACCATTTTCTTACCACTGGTGGTAGAATCCTGTATGGGTAAGAGCTATTGTGTAGTCAGAAGATTTGACTAGACTCTCACTACTGATGCAAGCTTAGGCAATTAACTTCCCTAGGTTCATTTTTTTTCTCATTTGTAGAATGAGGGTGGTTTTTTGTCTTTTGTTTTTTTTCCCCTCAGTGCCAGGGATCAAACACTCATGCATATAAGGGAAATGCTCTACTACTCTCACATCTCCAGCCCAAAATTCACTTTGCAAGTCTATGATGGTGTTTGGATACATACTGCAGACAAAACACTTGGGACAACTTGTGGAAAATAGTGAACATTTTAAAAAGGCAACGGTTACTCCTTTCATAATACAACCTGTTTAGAAATTTCAGTGCATTTCCCACTAGTACCACTATTTTCCTCCTTTTCTCAATAGAAAACCCATTCTACATCTTCCAATTTGTCTTTACCAACACTTAGCCTCCTGGTTATACAACTTTTGTCCTCTTTTACACAAGAGATTAGTAAATTATACTGTGGCCCATTAGTCAAATTAAGTCACTTGTCTGTTTTTTAATGAGTTAGAAAATGAGACTTTTTTTTACATGTTTAATGGTTATATTGTAAATGGTCACATAAATTCCTACATTGTATCTCTTCTCTTACCCAAAATCTAAATTATTCACTATGTGACTACCCTCTAGGAACAAATTTGCAGACCTCTGGGATCCTGAAAAGAGATAGCAAAAAAGAAATTAGCATAGGCCAATAGAAGAAAAACAGTGAAAAAGGAAAAGATGACTAAGGAGCCTGCATAGTAACAGAGAAATCAAGGGAAATAAATGGTACTGAGAAAAGATGAAAGAATGTGGACAGCAGGAAATCACTGATGCTATTACAGAATAAAGTAAGAATACTAGGAATTGGATTTTAGGACAGCAAGAGTGGTAAGAATAGAGACAGAATAGAAACAGTGCATACAGAACATTTATTCTATAAATTCAGCAGTGGAAGAGAAAATGCTAACAGGCAAGCACCTAACAGAGAGAGCCTGGAAAAGTGAACAATTCCTCCTGGATTTAGAAATATTCAAGGTTAAGATGTAGAGGGAAAAAACCTAGTGGTAAGGACACAGATAAAGTAAGGTATCAGAAATAACTATGCATAGTTCACTGGTACAGGTACAGAAACTAACATGTTCTAATATGGATGAGATTGGGCGTGCTCAGGGTGGTATGACTGCAGACCATGTTCTAATACAGAAAAGAGAAAACAATGTTCACATTTGATTATTTCAATATCTCCAGGAAACCAAGAAACAAAGTTATCTTTTAAGAGTGACATGAGTCTAAGGTGTGAAAAAGCAAAGATTTAAAAATAACTTTCAACGACAGTAAGCAACAGAATAAATAGGACACAGACACACTGATTGTACAATAGTGAAGAGCTACAGCTGTTTGTTGTTCATTTTAATAGCAGGTGAGTTAGACATCTTAATCCTCTCAAAGTTAAAGCTACCTCTTTGATCTTTCAATGGTATTTCATTTCTATTACCCCTGCTAGCACTTAACAGATACATTCAAAAGCAAGCAACAGTAACTTACTCTAATGTCACCTCCTTTACATATTTAGTTGTGACCAAAGAAACTTTTTCAAATATGAAATAAAATTGTGTTTGACTTACAAAGGAAAATAGAAAAACACTTTATGTATAAATCTCAGGTAGAAATAAAATACTGAAACACAACCAAAAGCAATGTGTCATTCCTTCACTGTCCCAGGAAATGACTGGCTTGTCTTTTCTCGTATTTCTCACATGTTCTTAAGAAACTCAGCTATAGAGGAGCCTTAGGAAAAGTAAAATTTTTGACAGAAAGTAAGCATTTTTGGACACTTTACAACCCTTGCTGTGATGCAATACAATGATACAAATAAAATCTGTTCAAATATAAGGAAACTTAATTTAGTTCATAAGGCCCTGAGAGTTTAAACTGTGCCTGCCTGCTACCATTTTGTCTTTTTTCTTTTTTTTTTTTTTTTTCCAGTACCAGGAATCGAACTCACAACATCGCATTTGCCAGGCAGGTGCTGTGCCGCTGAGCTAAATCCCCAACCCCCTTGTCTTTTTTCTTAACAGCAAGTTAATGTAATAATTCTAACTCCTTAGCATGCCTGAGGAACAAGTCTCATCCATCCCTAATTTACTCCTAAAAGTCTATGAACTTGAAAACAATATAAAAAAGTCTGTAGAAATATAACATGCTTTAATACCCTTGTTTTAGCTGCTCAGAGATGTTTTACCTGTTGGATATCAAGGTAGGCTTTTCCCTAGCTTTCAATTAACATAAAATAGGAACAGCTTTACAACAGTGAATCTATATATTTTTGTCTTCTCTATAAGGCTGGTGAACACCACAGGAGCAGGGACCACTATTACATTTACAGAGCAAATTAAATAAATCCCGGCACTTAAGAAAATGTCAATGAATCCTGTTTTAATATATAAAACTGAAATAAACTAAATGGCTAATACTCATTTTGTTCTCCCAACAATATCAATAATGCTTGTCCTGATGTTTTCTCTTAAATATGTTTTTTGTTGTTGTTGCTTTCCCCTTTTAAGCAAAGTTAAGTCCCAGAGACAGAAAAACTCTTCAAAGAAACCTCCAGTGGTCTAAGGATCGGTCAACAGATGGCATGGCTCTCTTCAGAACAGTTAAGCACAAGGGTAAAATGTGCTAGCATTACTGAAAGGATTTTTAAAACTCAACATCTTATCCTTAGTTACTTAAGTTCTTGGGTATATTTCTAAAGATCAAGGTGTTAACCTTAGCTCTTTGGTCTAATTTCAAGTCTGGTAATTACATGCTGCCTATTACAACTGCCCCTGCAGTTCTAATTTAATAAGGTGGTATTCAGTTCCTGTCAAATAGCTCGGAGCAGTGCTATCAGCTCCAATGCTTATCCCATAGAGTGTAACATTTCAGATGTGATTAAAGTGATCACTTAGAAGTTTCCAAGGAAGGTGATCATGACTTCATTAAAATACTTTTCCACTTAAAAAGAATATATAATCCATACACTTTTAAAGGTAGCCAAAGTTCCCACAACAAAAAATGATAGTGAGATATGTTCTTGATAAGTGTTCTATTTGTAATCTTCATAATGTAAACAAGACCAAAAATCTTTTACAATATATCACCTTTAAGTTTTACAAAGCAGAAAAACTAAACAACAATAAAAAAAAACCCTCAAACCCAAACTAAGAAGCTCTACATAAAACACAAATCTCAGAAAAGTAGTCACTGCCTATTTCTCCTCTGCTAGTATCCGCTGCATAGAATAACAGTAAAACATCAGACAGATGAACAACGATGACAGTAAAACATCAGGTAGATGACCTAAGGCAAAATGAAACAGTGTGTACGGCTATTAAATTTCAACCTTCAGCAGGCACTCTGATAAAAGGCACCCTGGCAAAAGTACTTTGCAGAGAGTTAGGGTAGATAACAGGAAACAGAAATAGTATTACTTTCAAAACTGTTTAGACTATTGAAATATGGTCCTAAAACACATGCAAGGTTGATATATGCAAGCTCAAGTACAGTCCAAAGTAGAACCATTATCTTTCAGAACTTACTTTATGATTCTAAAAAAAACTCAGTGCTTTTTAGTATTTCAAGTATATTTTATTTATTTATTTTTTGAGACAAGAGTTTTGCTATGTAGTTCAGGCTGGCCTAGACTCACTATATAGCCCAGGCTAGCCATGAACTCGAGGGGACCCTCCTGCCTCAGCCTCCTGAGTGCTGGGATTACAAACATGCACCACCATGCCCGGCTTCAAGTATACTTTGTGTATTAAAGAATGCCACAAAGCTAGTTCTGTCATTCTGGCATATTCCAAGTTCTGTAAGTCAATATATTACTAAGGAGTTGAAAGAAAATAGTTTCTATTAACTATTAGTGTTTTCCCATCTGCATGTTGTTTATAAAAAAAGACTATCATTGTTCATGATGCTAACATATCACTTAAGAAAAAAACTTATAAATAAGTATACTGTTATAGTCCATATCTCCACATCCTCCCAGAACTTCATGCAGTCATAGGCGGGGCCTTTAGGAGGTGGCTAAATTGGGGTGTGTAAATGTGGACGAAAGTGTGACAATGGGATTACGGATTTGTGCTACTAGGGTAGGTCACTAATTGCTTTGTCAGTCCCGGGTGTATGGGAAGCCCCACCCCAGCCCTAGGTGTGCTAGCACCACCCAAAAGGTTTCCAGCTTGGATGAGATAAAACAGAACAGGAGGTTTGTTCCTGTTGTTGCCTCTTGCCTGCCCCGCCACAAACTGTTTCTCTTCTGTGATGCCCTCTGCCACACCACCCTGCTTTGGAGCCAGCCGACTATGAACTAAAAACCTCTACAAACTGGGAACCAAAACAAACCTTTCCTGTATTAACTTGTGGGTATTGGGTATTTTGTCTCAGCAAGGAGAAAAGGAACTAAGACAACACCCTATAATCATGTACAGCCCAGAGTTCTTCTAATAGGCAGATACGTAACACTTCTCCCACCAAAAAAGAAATAAACTGAGAAATAAGAAGCCAATAAAACTACCCCTGGGGCTGGCAAACAACATAAAGATTTCATAAACTTCAACACGTTAGACCTGAGTGTAAAAGCAAGCAAAACTTAAGGAGTTTTATTTTCGATTAGTGTGTCCACATGGTACAGGCATAGCCAAGTTAAATTTTCTTTTAAGAACCAAGTAAGTGCTGAGCGTGGGGTGCATGCCTATAATCTCAGCACCCAGGAGGCTGAGGCAGGAGGACTGCCGTGAGTCTAAGACCTTGCAACTCAAACCCACCCTGAGCTACAAACCAACACCTTGAGTTACTGCAAATACGTATACTTTCAATCAGATAAATTATCAAAGCTTTTTTTAATACCAACCTAGAGATCCAACAAATATTCACAACTCAGTACAAAAATCTGAGGGCTCTATGTGCTGTGGAATTTAGGTATTTCCCCCAAGGTTTAGAAATGCTGCTTGGCAATCCCCAGTGAGGTAGGTCCAGGCTCGCAAACCGTAATCAAACATACTGTTTCTGCAACTAAAGTCAGGAATACTGAGAAAAAGAGCCTCATTTTATGTTAGTTACCAGCTATCAAGGAAGCTACCAAGGAAGTCATCATCAGGTCAGATTTTTGTAGCCAATTTCTGCTTTTAAAACTTTGGATTTTACACTTGCTTGGCAAGCGCAAAGTCATGAGTTCAATCCCCAGTACCAGAAAAAAAAAAAAAAAAACTTTGGATTTTGGGTAAAAGACTATGTACTCTAACTGAAAAAAATAAAAGCTGGGCAAAAGTTTTAACTAACTTTACTCTTAGCTTAAAAATCATCTGCCATGCCTTAAAATTTACAAGCTTCAACACAGCAGCACAAATTACATTTCAATTGTTTTCTGTAACTTACAAATATCAGATTATAGCAGTTTAATTCATATTTCCCAATAAATGTTTATTACTTATGATATGAAGTAAAATGCATAAACTGTATTCATATTTAAAATGGTAAATCTTGTCCTTTATACCTTCTAGTTTTTAAAAATGTACAATTATTTCTACCGTTAATAAAATCTAGCAGCTGCACTATAACTGAGCAATACCTCACACTGCAACTAGCTTAAAAGTCTGTACTCTGAGATAATGAAAATTTAGCAATTGTGTAAAGAAATTCTTCTTTTCTATGTTGTCCTATGTTTGGAAAAGAAAGGAATGTATGTCTTGTAAAAGCAGTTAGAATGCTTATTTTAAATTGTGTGTTCTCTTGAAAACAGCACAGTATCAGGGTTTAACGCACACAGCCTCTAACGCTAACAAATAGGTAAGTACGCACAAATCCAATTCTATCATTAAGTTGCTTTGTGACCTTTGGAAATTAGTTAACTCTCTGTGACTCAATTTTCTTATCTACAAATGGGGTAAAGAACAGTACCTGCCATGTAAAGCTGTTAATGAGAATTTTAAAATGCTAATAAAAATAAATTATGTAACAGTAAAGTTAATGATAGGAAGAGCAAGAGAAAGGATCAGTAAGAAAGGGAAATGGGTGATATTAACTATTCACGAAGTTAACGCAATATTATCAATAAATAACTTTTGTGATCTTAATCACTTTTTAAGCCTTGCCTAGTTTAACATGGATTTTTAAAAACACCAAAAATATGTACATTTCACTTACTGAAATACCACGAAATGAAATAATTAGCATCTCTACTCTTAGAGATAGAACTAGTATCAGTTACTAATATTAGTTCTTAGAGGTAAGAACTACTATCATTATCTCAATTTATTACTTTCTGTAAACTATTAAAGTGTCCCAGAGAATGCTTCTGTGAAAAACTCTAGTAGTTTGAACATATGGCTAAAATTAGTAAAAATATCTGGTAAGTTGAAATATCTAATTCCTTGATTATATCTGATAGCTCATCAATTAAATGTCACAATACTAGAAATAAATCACTTTGTTCAAGGCACAATCTGATAATATACTGCCTGAGGCCTTACCTGTCTTCATCTTTGTCAAAAAGTTGGTAATAATCTCCACAGCCATTCCAAAAGGTGTTCTCCCGAATGTCCTGCCTTCCTGCTGCAGCTCTACTTTCAGATGTCATATGGCTGTGTGCTTCCCGTGGTGTAACTCTTGAGTAAGGTGGATCCAAGAACATACACTCATGCTCTCCATCGTATTCGTCAATCTTTATTATGGGGTCATCTGAGCCACATTCCTCAACTTCCAAAGCCTCCCTCCATCTCTGAACACTTCTCTGTTTAGCTTCATGCCTATTAAATCCTATTTCTTGGTCCACTTGGCTTGAACTTATCACTTTCCTAACTTTCGGCCTCACTACCTGTTCAGGCGAACTTCCATGCTTTTTGTCCCTATCACCAGGACTTTGTTCACTACAAATATGCCCTGTAATACAAGCTACATTTTCAGTTGAATTTTCTGTCTGTCTTTCCTGGTCAGTATGGTCTCCCTGTTCCTTTCTAACAACATCTTCAGGAGACCTCTGAAATTCCTGGCCATTCTGATGGACAAATTCAGTCTCCCCTGAACTTTTCACTAATGATGCTGGATCTAACTCTTCAAACTCATCGCTTATTTCACTGTTAAAAGAAGGAAGTGATGGTGAAAGACCAACATATGTTTCTGCCTCTCCATTTTCCAACTCGAATACTGTACTGCCTAATGCTTCCTGATATCTACCACCTTCCACAATTTCTACAGAAAGCTGAAGACAGTCATCCTCCCCATGCTTGCTGTCTGGATCGTGAGAGTTAGAGTGAACCAGTGCAATTCCGTTTTGGACACTTGAGGCATTACAAGCTCCTGGAGCATACTCTCCGCAGTCAGAGTGCTTATGAACAACACTCTTACTGCTTCCTAAGGTCTCCCTGCCTTCCACACTATGACATGCTACAGCCAAGGATGGACTGCTCTCAATGGTTTCTGTGCCACGAATGAAACTTTCTGTTTCACTTTTTGCAAGTTTAGGTTCACTGGGTAAAGAAGAATGAACTTGATCCAATGGACTGGAACCTGAATATAGAACAAAAGAAAACATTTTAGAGGGATTACCTTTGACAAATTTTATCAAATGTCATTTAAATGGTATCATACCAGTTATTACCTACTTGAAAATATGAATGCATTTATTTGGCAAATGCTTCTATGCTCCCTATATTAACTGGCTACCTTATGAGTTCATTTATGTCACTGTGTCGCTTTTCAGTATCTCTACGCACATTTCTCTTGCAGAGTTGGTTTTTTTTCTTTTACCTAAACCCTTCTGTAAGATGTATAAACGAGAGGTTAATGAGAAGCTACCTAATGATAAATACAAGTGATGTCACAGGGTAACCCATCTGCCCTCCCACTGAGCTCCAAACCTACCTTCTTTTACTACATGCAGGTTAGAAACAAAACACTTTAAAAATACTTACGATAGATATTACAGATTATAGAGCTAAGGGAAATGGGACTCTATTGTGCTTGGATATTACTTTAGAACACTGTACCTCAGTTTCTAAAAATGTATTAGATTTCTACACCCAAAATACAGTTTCAATAATTTATAGTGGGTTAATTTTAGATGTGTTACAGCTATGTTGGAAAAACAAGTCAATATGCTGATTCTTTTCTATAGTCTGTCAGACTTTGTAATATAAGTTACATCAAATCTAGCCTATGAATTACTCTAAACAACTGTTTCATTATCATTACTTGAATAATGAAAAACAAAGACATTCAGATTTGCTGGAACAAATAAATTAGAACACAATGAAGTTCAGTGTTACTGTAAAACCTTCCTTATTGGAAAGACTTTAGCTAGTAATTTATCTACTTTGCTTAGGACAAGAGGAAGAACATGAATCTAATCCAAAGGGATAAATACAGTACCTGGTTATCTGTAAAATACATTTCAAACCACTGATTAAAACTTTTTAATGGAATAATTAAGGATTACTTGACAATTATATTTTATAAAACAATAAAAATACACTAGCTAAGCTAAATTATTTAGACACAAAATTAAAGTTATTTAAATGTAGTATGCTGGGAAAAATACATATTAAAAAGCCTTGTTTTGTTTTTTCTGTTTGAGTGATTTATGGCTAAAGGTTATGACAATGTAATCATCACCATGAAAGTGTAGTTATATATTAAAGACAGGCCATATTCTGTTTTTTTATGTCCAAATATATTTACACTATTAATATTAAATTCAATAAAAATTTCAAAACAGAATTTCTTGGCAGAAAAATGCATGACATTTACACTCATGGATACCCACAAAACCTACTCTAAATTTTAAATGTTATAAGGTCAATCACCACGTAACTATTAATAACCCTAAAGTATTTACATGCTATATACCTGAGGAATTCTCCTTTGGAACATCATCTAGTTCCAGCACTTCATAGTCATCACCAGCCCGGCCTAAGCTTCTTTCATGTCTGGTCATACATGGTTTAAAACTGACATATGCATGTCTTCTTCCATATCTCCTGCCTGTAATTGTCTGATATCCTCCTGCTGATTTGGGCCACACAGCCTTGCTGGATTCTTGATCCATTACTGAAAAATATAAATAGAAGAAAGACAGCAATGACCTTTATCCTTGCAACATATATGCTTACTAGATCATGTGCTACCAAACATCAACTGCACCTTACCAGTACCATAAAACATTCTTCATACACTAGATCATTACACCTCAAATACTATATGGTGAGACTTAGTGGCCTTTTCCTCTAAAAGCATACCTTCTAAAATGTGGGGTCTTGAAGGTATTTTAGATTTTTATAATGAAATCTACCAGAAAAAATTTTTATATGCCACATTATCACACTGCCAAACCTCTTTACAGATTAGAGAATTAGCTTCCCAAGCACCCAAGTGAAGTATCTTTCATATATACGCTCACTACATATTTGATGAGTTATTAGTACATAACGTGATAGTTTCAATTACTTTAAAGTTCCTGCCAAAGACTACATAGGTAACTTCCTTAAATGGTAAATGTACTACAAAGAAACAACTAGGTCACAATAAAATACATCCCAAAGCCTAAAATAAAATTCTCCAAAAACAGTCATGAGCCAAGTCAAACACATGCTACCCCATTTTTTAAAACTATAAATGAATGGTATATATAATGGCAAGAAAAGCCATTAACATTTAAATAACCTGAATGTTAAGTTTTGATGACTATATGGTATATAGTAGTAAACCATAGCATCTTTTACTAGTTTATTATGTTTATATACACACGTATTAAATCTAAATTTGTTTAGCCTATTACATATTACATATACCAAGCAGAAACTAAGCAAATTATTATCTCACAGTACATGGTACAGTCAATAAACAAACTTCATGTTTTCCTGCACTGAATTAAGAATTATAATCATTTTTGAGCAGGAAAAAAAATGTGTTTAACAGACACTATCAAGAGTTACATTATTTTAAACATCTCAAAAAGCTTGATATATATACTCTATAGTATTTTTAAAAATTAAAAAATTAAAGTTAAAATTAAGTGTTTTGGTTACTTGTCCAATAATTTAAGAACCAATAACCTTAACAACTTCTCCAAAGGAACAGTCTCTAATGTGGAATGTAAACAGAAGTCAAAAGGTATGGCAAGAAAATTTCACAATCCTTTTTATACCAAGAATTAAAAATAGAGCGTTACAAATACCCAATAAAGGAACAAAACTGGCTCTAAAGGCCACATATTAGATGATGATTTGTCCTATATGTTACCCAAAGTACACAGAGGGAAAGAAATCTTTAATATAGAAAACTGACAGCTTCCTTACCTGATGGCTCTTTTTCAGTGTACTGTGACATATATGGCAATTTCTGTGTGTCCAGTTCAGTAAAAATATTGATGTGACTTAGTTTTCACTCATACAATGGATAAGCTTTAAAGATTCCTATAAAAAACAATGGATTGAACAAGCTATTAGTAATAAAAGAACAAAAATGGGAAATTGAGGTTTCTCTTCCTAGTAAAAATCTGTTCTTTTAACTTAGAAAAATATATCTTGATGTGATGAATCAATCCAAAAACCCTCAAAGGTATTAAAATGGCTATGTAAATCACAGATCTACATCTGTTCTTGATTCACCTTCCCCTCAGTATATGTCATCCTCATGACTGCCACTGACAGCAACACAAAATTTATTAGCAAACAAGCAAACACACTAGAAGAAGTTCTGACTAGGATATATAACGGAACTATTTGGGAATCTACTAGACTGTGCTGCTTTTGTTTCATCAAGTACTGTAGATCTTTTACCCCTGGAACTGTTAAAATTCTTGTTAAGAATAAGGAAAGGAAAAAGGATTAAAACAAAAAATCAGGGGCTGGGGATTTAGCTCAGTGGCACAGTGCCTGTCTGGCAAGCGCAAGGTAGTGAGTTTGATTCCTGGTACCAGAAAAAAAACAAAGAAAAAATGGAAATAGAACTTTTTCAAATGGAAAGGGATTAAGAGTTGGAGGGAAGAAGGAGGGGCAGGAGACCTCCCTCCCCCTAAAAAAAAAGCAAGGAAGAAAGGAAGAATTAAGATGTGCTATGTACATATATGAACTCTCCAAGATAAATGTAATTATATATTGCAAACATGTACTAATAAAAATAAATTAATAAACTTAAAGAAACAAAAATATAAAAAGTTTTATGTATTAATATAAAAATACAAACCTTACTTTTCAAATATTAGCATAAAAATACAACCCACACTTTTAAATGTTTAATGGCAAATAACAATAATTAACACTGTGTATAGACAATGATGTACTTATTCTTAACAACAGGCAATTGACCAGATAATTTAATCTCAAAAAGAAACTAGTCTGAGTCAGTAAAAACCACAACTTACTATTTAACAAATACAAAAAGACTTTCTCCTGTTTTGAATTAATTCACTTATGTACTATTTGAGAGGTTGTGACTTTTTTTGAGTTTAGTAAAGGCTTAATTTTATTTAAACACCTTAGTTATGAAACACTTGGGCTATTGCTAACTGTTTATCACTAATGCAAATTTATCAGACAATAGTTCTACAAATCAGTTCAACTGTCACCTGACCACAGATACATTTATTTACATAATCACAAATTCTGCAAAATATTGAGATTCTCTACTAAATTTGGATCAAGTACGATTATGAACAATAGCTAAAGAGAAAAAAAGTATGTAAAAAATCCACAAAAAACCACTTAACCATACTGGCAAAACCACAGGCTCTAATTAACATTGTTTTAATATGAAAAGCAATCTGAAATAACTTGAATCTTCACAATTCACAATGGCAGTCTTAATGAATATTTATAAAGAACATCCTATTATAAATATTATATTCAAAGTCCTTTCTCTTTGGAAGACAGCTTTTTTTTTCCATATATCAAGCACTATTTTTAGAGCTGGGGAATGTAACAACTACAAAATGATAAACATTTCTGCTCTTCTGAAATTACAGCATGAGACAAGACACTAAATAATATACAACATGTGAGATAACACAGTATGGGTCAAAATAATGCAAGGAATAAAGAGCTGTGGAGATGAACAATTTCACTAAGAATGGGTCATTGAAGCAAGTATCTGAAATGATGGAGGAAATGTGCAGACCTAGGGAAAAAACATTCTAGGTAAAATAAACTGAAGACAGTGAAGCGAGAAGTTCCAGAAATAATCAGGTAATAGCAAATCTAGAAGAAGAACATTAACAAGAAAATAACAGATGAAGTTAAAAATGAATGATGAAAACGATGGGGAAGAATGAAGCAGATCAGAACAGATCACAAGGCTTTTCATATGCTGTTAGAAATGCTGGTTTCATTTTGAGATTTAAAAAAAAGTCACTGAACAGTTCTGTGCAGAGAAGAGACATCATCTGACTTCTGTGTTAGCGGGAACCCACTGGCCACTGTGTCGAACACCATGAAGGAAACCAAGGTCAAAGAAAGGGAAACTGATTACAAAACTAGAAAAATGATACTGACAAGAAATCATAGCGGTTTAGACCAGGGAAAAAGCAGAAGTGGTAAGAAATGGTTTCTGAATATACTGTGAAAACAAAGCCAACAAAATTTACTGATAGAAAATACGAAAGAAAGCAAGGAGCTGAGGTAGACTGTAAGTTTTATAGGACAGACTACTGGAAAAAAAGACTTGCCGTTAACTGATAGGGGAAATTCTGTGGAAGAAGCAGATTTGGAGAAAATATCGTGAGTTTAGATTTGTTTGTTTTTCCTGTGGTACCGGGGATCGAACTCAGGACCTTGCGCTTCCCAGGCAGGCGCTTATGCCACTGAGCTATATTCCCAGCCCCTTGAGTTTAGCTTTGGATGTGTTAAGTTTGAGATATTAACATTAACTGGATATTAAACATCAGAGTGTTAATATAAAGTAGGAGTCCGGAGTTGACTTGGTAATTTTTTTTTTTTTTTGACTGGAAAATTCTGAGCTGTTAGCAAAATCTGGGAGTTATCAAGTACAAGATTTAATGCTCAAAAAGGTATGAACTTGGGAGACATCACTAAATATACTTTGCTTATTATTTTCAATAATGGTTCTTGTTTTATGAGTAAGTAGATCAGAATGTCTCTGCAGATACTAATTATTTTATCTGAGGCCACTATAATCAGGTTCCTATGAGTGCTCACTCTTATCTGAAGTATAAAAAGGAACAAAAGACAGGAAAGGGAATGAATAAAGATTAAACTCTTTGGGAAAGCTTAAAATGGTTAATTCATCAGTTACAGGACTACATTTAAACCTGAACAGACTACTGAATTAGTCTGTTTCTTGTACTATCCACCTAACAAATAACACAACTGACTCCTGTATACTCTGCGAGACTTGTTCATTTCAAATGCTTGAAATTTTATATACTTCCTATTAATTTTTAAAAATTATATAAATTTGTTGCTCAAAATTAAAGGAGTGAATTAAAGAAGTTTTAATTCTAGATCTTTCAATTACTAACCTAAAGGTCATCACAATCACTCTAGGATATTATGTCAGCAGCTCTAGACAGGCTATATAATTTTTAGGGGAACAGAAAGAAAAGTACAGATACAAGATACATACCTCCCTCATTAAAGTGTTTCAATTTTCTTTTTACCAGAGTCCAATGCATCTATTACTACATTGTCTAGCACAGTATGTATCAAAATGGTGGCTGAATAACTGACACAATTTTGTGCTCCTTTCTCCAATAGAATGTGATATCCTGAAAAACTATCTTACATAGCAACCTGTAGCTTCCAATTTCAGAGGCTGACAGTAAATAGTATCACTTGCTTTCAAATTCTATGAATAAGGCACTGCAGAAGTAGTAATAAGGTCTAAACATAAAGCAATTTTAAAAATACATCGAATTTCTGATGTAAAATGGGTCGGCTACTTCTGGTAACACCAAAAGGTAATCTGATGTAATGACTGGTATGAGGAGGTTTTTTGGTTTATAAAAGGAATAATAAATTCAGAATTGCTGGGCATGGTGGTGCACACCTGTAATCCCAGCACTTGGGAGGCTGAGACAGGAGGATCTTTGCGAGTTCGAAACCAATCAGGACTACAAAATGAGCTCAAGGCCAGTTTGAACTGCAGAGAGAGATCCTGTCACAAAAAGACAAAAATAAATAAATAAATAAATGAAAAGATAAATTCAGAATTGTTATAGCAAAAATAACATTAAAATATGATCGAAGCAAAATAGATCAGAAACAGACCATGAGATAAAAAATTTCACATTTAATTGAAATATTATTTTTCCAATTTGTTTATGGTAACACCTCTACTTCACTAAATGTTTATAAACTGTTACGCTCTCAACATATTCTATTTTTTAGAAAGAAAATATATAGAGAGAAGTATGTGAAGAATGAACTGAATGGGCATACACCCAACACATTAGACCTATAAAAATTTTCTGATTTACCTGAAGTATAACTGGCTAAGGGGGAAAGAGGATTAAAGGGCAACCAATAAAGACAAACTGTGATGAAAGAATATTAAGTAAAAATAACAAATGTAAAAATACTCTTTAAAATTACCTCTCAGTTAAGATTTCAGATTCAGATGTGCTACAAATAAGAAGGTCCTTGGCTCATCCTACCCTTTTTTGTAATGTGCAAGTCAAGTCAGTTTGGAATAAAGCAGCAGCAAAGATTTAGCTCTAGGTCAACGGACCAGGGAAAACAACCACAACCACAACAACAAAAACAATAGCTCTACAAGAAAACAGAAAACTCTATGTTATATGTACTAAAATGTAAAAAATTGAAAATTCGATGCTAAAGGTATACATACCAAAGTGTAACAAGTTTCATTTGATGATCAATATAAAATATGCTCAGAATACTAGACATTTAGATGTGTGCTAAATACAAGCAATAGCATGTGTAAGATGTGAGTGGGGAAGGGATGGAGAAAGAAGTAAGGCAAAGTGCTGAAGCAGGATGAAGTGCACAAGGACGCTCCTAGTACTCTACAGAAGTTGGGGAATTTCATTCCTTGACTGTGAATACATTTGAGTCCATGGCTTACCTTTTCCTTTTTAATGATGTGCCTATCCCAAGGTCATGAAAATATTCTTCTAGGTTTTCTTCTAGAAGCTTGACAGCTTTATCTTTTAAATGTAGACCTATGATCCAACTAAAATTCACTTCTGAATATAGTATTTGTTAAGGGTCAAGTTGATTGCTTTTCCCAATGAATATTCAGCTGACCTAGCACAACTTAATAATAAACTCTAAGTTCGGTGGGTCATTTGTCACAAATTATGAAACCACATAAATTTAGGGTCTATTTCAGATGCTCATATTCTTCTCTTGGCATTTTTATCTATGTCTGTTCTAATACAATACTATCTTAACTACTCTTAACTTCACAGCAAGTCTTTGTAACAGGAATACTGGCA